CTCAGAGTTGTTGAAAAAAATCAAACAATATAATGCCTGTAGGAAGCATGTGATAAAGACGTTATTGCTATGAGAGAGAGCAAGGGACAAAGGAAAAGGACTGTGTAATTTCCTGAGTCCTTAGGCACTGGAGGTGATGCATGTCCGTAGGTTGGTGGAGAAGTCAGGGAAGCTGGTCTTGCTGATAAAGAGATACACCATCCCTTTGGCTTTGGGATTCACAACAATGGAATCATAACTCTATTGTTTCTTTGCCGTATTTTTTCATTTCTTCATATGTCTATGTAATACACAAAATTACAAATAGTATGTGTGTGTACATATGTATAATTACCATTTCATAATTGTAAACAGGTCCTCAATTTTTCATTTTGTTTTCAGTTAGTATCGTTCTCTGTTAATCATGGCCATGATTCCTTCTTCAGTGGGTTCCTCTCCTCCCATAACCAACCCAAGAATGTACATTTAGATTTGGAGTCCCCTGCTATCTGTGGGCAGACTGAAGCCCTAAGAGAAGATGCTCTGAGAATATTCTTAGGCAGGAGAGTGAACCCCACCCCTGTTGATGCTCAGGTCCTGGTGATTCCTATTTTCTAAAAGAAATGTCTTTTATTATGTCAGCCTCTCTCTGTTTTGGACCCTGTTTTTCCCTCTGGGGTGACCAGAGATAAGGAGAACCCTTAGCTCACTGTTATTGTTCCTGCACTGTCTGTGTCTAAAGCAATTGGTGTTCAGCTCCTTGCCCTCACTCTCTCTTCTCCTCACCCCAAAGCCCAAATCCCAGGGCTGTTGGGGCACACACACTGAGCTCTGTGCCCACAGGAGAGTGGAGAGAGTGAGAGAGAGCAGTCAGGGTCTCCCAGGAGGCCCCTGTGGACTCACAGTTGCCTGCCTTCTCCCTGGAGCTCACATTTCTCAAACTTGAGTATGGCGCTGGGATGTGCCCAAAGGCCGCAGTGGAGACAGCTGCTCTTTGGGAACCACTGTCATGCTCCCATTCAGTCCTGCTGCAGCACACCATCAGTACTGAGAACTGGAGGCTGTTGGTTTCAGGTCGTCCACCAGTGGTACCTAAAGAGCAGGACGAAGGGGATACAGGGAGGGGCCTAGGTAGGGTGGAGTGTCTCCATCCTGGTGTTGTGTCATCTTTGTTTACTGGGGACTGCCCCAGAGGTCCCAGGTTTGGAAACTGTGCCTGCAGTTTTAGAGTGACCTCTTGGCTCTATTCAACACGTTATACTTGCCTTGTTGTCCACTGGGTGCCACCCACTCCTCCTGGTCCTGCATCTGAACCTGGGTGGCAGGCTGGGACCTATCACTAGTAAGTTCCCTACCTTCCCCTCAGTCTCTTTCACAGTCCTTTCATTGCCTTCACAGCATTTGTCATGGTTTGTCATTTTAAACTTATTTACTTTTTCCAACTTGGCTGTAATGCATGGGACTATTTTGTTCACCACTGTATCCCTTGAACACCAACGGTATCTGGTGCTGTTAATCATATTTTCCTGAATGAATAAGTGAATGGATGAATGATTGCCTGTGTCCTCTTGCTCACTGTGCTATTGCTGATTTGGATCCAGCAATGAATCTCATGACAGGACTCCTCTCCCTGCATTGGTCCCATTCTGTTCTCCCTCTTGGGAAAGACCTAGTGGTCTGTCCCACTCTACTCCTGCCCCTCCCTAAGAGACCCGAGTTCAAGAGAAGCTCTGTCTAGGTTCCTTCTTGATGCATCTCTGTCTTCTTTTTGAGCCTTAAATTCTTGCTGCGCACTGGTCTGCTTGCCCCAGTGTGCAGTTTTTTTTTTTTTTAAGATTTTTTAAAATTTTTATTTATTTATTCATGAGAGAGAGAGAGAGAGAGGCAGAGGCAGAGGGAGAAGCAGGCACCCCGCAGAGCAGGGAGCCCAATGCGGGACTCAATCCCAGGACCCTGGGATCATGACCTGAGCCGAAGGCAGATGCTTAACCGACTGAGCCACCCAGGCGTCCCAACCCCAATGTGCAGTTTACTCTGTGTCCTCCCTCTGTCACCTGCCCTTGCAGGTGGCCTGTGGACCATAGGGGATACTCAGTTACTTTCCCTGCTCACCCCTCTGTCCCATTCCTGGCCCCTGCTCTTTCATTCACTTGAGAAGGTTGGCATGTCCCAGGACACTGGTGGCCAAACACTCCTACAAACAATCATGGTGATGGTACTGCTAACCCCTCTGCATTCCCAATTATTAAAAAGAGAGTTATTTCCGGGGTGGGAAAGTTGTTTCAAAAGTCAAAAAGCATAGGGATAATTTAGTCAGAAGAATTGAGAGGGTTGATGTTGCATGTTGATAAGATGCGTAACAAGGAGGAGGCTTTCAAATGGGTTCCAAGTCTCTGGAGGGCTATTATACGGAGACAGGTAAGCTCTCTGCTAGTTGGCACTGTAACAGAGATCTGAACGACAGAACATACAACATGAAGGATTTGGATAGAGATGAACAGGATCTTTTACCAGAGAGGATCTTTACCAGGAATGTGTGAGGGAAACTGAGAACATACCAGGGAGTCCAGACTATCAAGTACAGATAATGTTAGCCCAGTCCAAAGCATGTGCTAAATGGCCAACTAAAGCATTGGCCAGTCTACCTTGTGATAGCTAAGGCTGCCCTTGACCTGTTTTGATGGGGCACCGCATTGTCTCCTGATTGGAGAAGCTGGGTTTTCCTGCACCAAGGGGATGCAGGACCCCTGGGCCTGAGAGAGGATGTGTTCTGTAGTGAGAGAGGAAGCAGGATGCTCCAGGGGGTACTGCAGAGGCTGCACTGAGGAAAATCTCCTCCGCAGAAGACCCTGATACAGAGGAAATCTAGTTGTACATTCGTGTTGAACTTTACTTATGTTAATTTTTGCTTGTATTAAGCAATCAGTTTTGACAAAAACTTGGAATGTAAAATTATTCGGTAAGGACATAAGGTTCAAAAACATACTCCAGGGGGTCTGTCCTGAACTGTAGGCCAGATGGCTGAGTTGGAAATGGGGGAGTGGTGTCCCAGAGTCTGGAAGCAACATGAAGGGAATGGTAGTAGTGTATGAGGGACAAATAGGAGGGCACCAGTCATCCAAGCTGAGGGGCGGGGGGAGGCAAGATCTTGAGTAGGAAGAGAAAATTCTAAGGTGAAATGTCTAGTAGGCTGGAGAGAGGTTGGGGGGAGGAAGGCAAAATGGGTTGGGGGGAGGGTATAATAATGGGGGCTGTGCTGGAAGCTCATTTGCAAAGGACTTCAGCTAGCGAGGGGTAGAGCAAAGCCTGCTGCACTGAATGGAGTATTCCTGTCTCCAGAGTCACCCTGAATCAACCCTTTCACCTCTGATTCCAGGACTTCAAGTGTTTTAGACTGTAGAACTTCCGGATGCTATGTCACAGATGTCTGTAAGGTAAGAAATATGCTGCTCTTCAAGTGGCAGTGATGGTGAATAAACCAGAATAGGCCCATGGGTTGAATTTCTCATTTTTGCTCAGGCATTTATGACACCCACAGGATGTGATACACATCAATATGGGGCTGTATAGGGAGAGATCACATTCAGGGAAATGGTAGTGGAGGAGTAACAGCCTCCTAAGGACTGCCCTCCCCTATTAACCCCCCAGAAGACATGGAGGACTGAGGGCTGAACCTCTAACTCGTCGTGTGGTATTAGAGACCCAGGTTAGATCTTTTCTGCAAGGAAAGGGACATCCTCCTTGCCTCTTACTCATCGCTGGTAGTCAACAACTGATAATGGAAATTTACTCTTTAACACATTTCTTAATTTACCATTTATTAAATACTTTCTCGCATTTGTATACCCAAGCAATAGGCTTTGGATCCTCTGTCTAGAAATTGATATGGCACTGTGAGAATTTTGAAGATTCCATATATTTGGCATTGTGGTTACTCTAAACAAATAGGTATTGGAGTTAGAAAATTCTGGGTTCAAATCCCAGATGTACATTTATGAAGGGTATGACTTGGGATTGAGATCTTTAAATATCCCGAGCCTCAGTTTTTATCACCTGTGATGTGGAGATGGTCACCATCTCACAGCCTTGTCATAGCCCAGAAACCAGTGTATGGTAGCACTCAGTGAGTGAGGTCTCCCCATTCACCACTCCATATCCACAAGGCTGTATCAAAAATGCTTTGACAACTGAAAGTTCTTTTCTAATTTTGTGTCGAACTAACTAGGCAGCTAAACCTGATCTGAACTTACCCATGTGGGGCTATTTATAGCCTCTATCTGTTCCATTAGGTGTGAATATTCATGTATTTTGCTGGAGAAATAGTACTGTATTTGATTAGAGAGTGCTGCCCAGACCCTCTGGGATTGGATTCTGAAACACACCTGGGTTCATCTTACCTTTCTGATAAGAAATTGTCAGGTCATGATTGCTTCATTACCTTGCTAAAGCCTACAATGCACACAGACAAGTAATCATTTAAAGAAAATGTGTTTCCATTGGGCAAACTTTTTTTCTCGGGACTAGGAATGAAAACTTAATAGATGTGCTCATTTATTTGTTTAATTAAAATTTAGTAAGTACTTACATTGTGTAAGATGTTGCTAGGTATTGTGAGGCTATAATGATGAAAAGAGAGCCCTGCCACTAAGAAACAAGTGTTTGGAATAAGACTGGCACAAGGATAACTAAAATGCAAGGCAGACATGCTAATTTCCAGGAAGTTGGGAATTCCAGGAAGAATGAGTTCACATCTGAATGGGGGATGAAGCTTCATAAAGGAGGGACATTTTAGATAGTCCCTGAAGGGGGTAGGCAAGAATTTGTCAGGTGAAGAAGGCAGGACAGGGTATTCCAAGCATAGAGAACAATCAAGAGAAGTTTGTCAAAGCAGGGTGGAATTAACATTTGGAGAATAGCAAGTGGTCCAGTCTGGTGATAGCATGAAGTGCGTGGCAAGAAAGAGGTGAGGGTAAGGCTGGAGGGGTAGGTGGGTAAAGCTGTGCAAGGCTGGGATTGCCAGGGGGAGTATGTTCTTGACTTAGCAGACAAGAGAAGGAAGAGAGGTTGGTGTTTAAAAAAGTTTTTTTTTTTTTTTCCTGGTCATTGAAGAAATACACATTTAAAGGAAAAGAATTTGGAAAACAAACAAAGATTGATATTAATATAGATATACATTGAACTGCCTATAATCCACATTCAAGATAGCCACTGTTAATAATTGAAAATACATCCTGGTAGCCTTTTTCTATATGGAGGTAGGTGGCTAGCTAGTTTGATTAATTGATTTTGAGAGTAATGCATAAATGAAATTACATTACCTCAGATTATTAAAAAAACAGCTTGTGTAATAACACTTTAGAAACATATAACTGTAGTGTATGTGTAGGTTGGATATAGAGAAAGCTACAAATATGAAAGCCATTGAGAATGCTGTTGCAGGGGTGCCTGGGTGGCTCAGGTGGTTAAGCATCTGACTCTTGATTTCAGCTCAGGTCGTGATCTCAGGATTGTGAGACTGAGCTCAGTATCTGGCTCTGCGTTGGGTGTGGAGCTTGCTTAATGTGGTCTCTCTCCCTGTCCCTCTGCCCCTCCCCACCAAAGAAAAGAATGTTGTTGCAATGATTAAGAGAAGACAAATTCTTGAACTTGGGGGCTATGGAAAAAAGAGCGGTGTGTGGTTTAAAAAATATTTCTAGAGATGGTGGTTCAAGTGTTTTAGAAGAAGGAAGGGAAAACCCAAAAAACTATTGATCCCTTCCAGGTGACAAACCTGGATTACTGGGGGGTTGGGGAACCATGAACATGATGTTGGCTTTGGAGGAGGGGAGGATTATGTGCATATTTTTACACATGGTGAGTACATTGTGGTGGTCAGCAGGCAATCAGAGACGTGGGTTGAGAACAAGAATGCAGATTTGAGATTTATTTACATTTTCAAGATTGCTCAAGAAGGAAGATTTCTGAAGGAGAGAAGAGATAAAAGAAGAAAGAAATGTGGTGACATCCGTATTTAGGAAGACCAGGGGCCAGACAAGGAAAAGTCAGAACTGTTGGAGAACTTGGAGGTCCTTGTAGTCAAGGGTGGAAACAATTTCAAAAATGGGTTATTTGTAGCCTAAAATGTTACAGAGACCACAAGGAAGATGATTTTGAGCACAAAAGATGAAGAGAAGTAATGTATGAGGTACCTAACACAATTCTGGGTACATGGAAAGAACTCAGCTAATAGCAAGTATTATGATGGAATGATCATTAAATATGGGAGTTAGGAAGTATTTTTCAGACCCACCAAATCTCTTATACAGAGTTAGAGCTTAACAAATACACTGAATGGAATGATGAGCAATGGCATACAATAGAGGAAGAGTTTAGGAGTGTTGATAATGTGGAGGTGTCCAACTCCTAGATTCTGGGATTTACCATGCATACAGGTTAGTATGCCTGGGGAGCCAGGCCAGCCATCACGGAGTATAGTCAAGACAGGGCTTGATGGAAACTTCCCACTAAGATTTCCTGGCTTCTCACAGGTAGTACAGAGAACTGGCATCAAGTGCAATGAGTAACGTCAGTGTCGTCAGGGAATTTGTGCTGCTGGGGTTTTCACATCTCCATGAGTTCCAGATCCTCCTGTTTGCATTCATCCTATTGATATATGTGCTAACAGTACTGGGGAACCTGGCCATTATCACCCTCACATGCCTTGATTCCCACCTCCACTCACCCATGTACTTCTTCCTCTGCAACTTCTCCTTCATGGAAATGCTGGTCACTTCCACCGTGGTTCCTAGGATGCTGGCAGACCTGCTATGCACTCATAAGACCATTTTCCCGGCTGAGTGCCTCACCCAGTCGTTCCTTTACTTCTCTTTGGGTTCCACCCACTTCCTGATTCTCACAGACATGGCCTTCGATCGCTACTTGGCCATCTGCTGCCTCTGCACTACCCAACCATCATGAATGGTCCCATGTGTGTGAAGCTGGTGGTGGTCTGCTGGGTGGTCGGCTTCCTCTCCATCGTCTCCCCCACCCTGCAAAAAACACGGCTATGGTTCTGCAACCCTAACATCATCAGCCACTACTTTTGTGACTCTGCCCCACTTCTCAAGCTTTCCTGCTCTGATACCCGCCACATTGAATGCATGGACTTCTTCCTGTCCTTACTATTTGTGCTGGCCACCATGCTGCTGATCATAGTGTCCTACGTCCTCACTGTGGCTGCAGTTCTGCACAGCCCCTCCTTCTCTGGGTGCCGGAAGGCCTTCTCCACTTGTGCCTCCCACCTCACTGTGGTGGTTCTGGGCTATGGCAGTGCCATCTTCATCTATTTGAGGCCAGGCAAGGGCCACTCCACACACCTCAACAAGGTGGTGGCTCTGATGACTACAGTAGTGACCCCTTTCCTCAATCTCTTCATCTTCACCCTTCGGAATGAGAAGGTCAAGGAGGTCATTGAAGATACGGCCAAAAGGCTCCTCTTCAGAGATGCAGCAGTCCACAGATGAGAAGGCCCAAGAGCACCTATTAAGTCACAGGAGTAAGGACCCTCCACTGCCCACACTGGAGCTCCTCAGTCTCCTTCTTCCCAGTCTCTCCTGCTCCCTCACCCCCACAGAAGTCTGCTTACTCACTACAGAGAGCTAAGGAGCTCACACCATCTGAATGTTTCAAAGGCAAGTATCTGTAAGCCTGAGATAGACAAGGAATAGGTGATTTTGAGGGAGCCTTGGAGTGAAAACAGTATGATAATATCAGCAAAGATATTATCCAGATAAAATTCTCAGTCCAGGATTTGGTACATGGTAAAAACTCTGTAAATGTAGCTCTTATTATAAAAATGTGTTATTAAAATCTCTCCTTCCCAGTCTGGCTGTATGGTTTTGTTTACATTCCTTTTTCATTTATTTGTCTGCAACTTTTTTGGGGGGTGTTTTTCTTTCTCATGAACTGACTTCAGAATCTAAGATAGGGTTCTGAAAGTGGGAGTTTCTCTGAGAAGAGCAGAGAGGGTTGGCATCATCCAAATAGAAGAAACTTTGTGCCTCCCACTGGGACCGCTTCTCTGGGATTGCTCGTAAAGTAGTAACACTACTTACACCCAGGCTGCCCACTGCTCCTGTCCAGCCCCTCCAAATCTCTTGCTTTTAAACAGAAATGACTCTCTGGGGGCCACTTTCTCAGCCCCTTACACAGATAGGTCATGAGAGCCCCAGGCCTAACTTTATCCTTCCGGTGCTCTCAAGAAAGAAGGGAAAGCTAGATCATTGTTCCCAGACTGACTATCTTCCCCTTTACAAGCGCTAGTACCTCTCTTCTATAGAACTTAGATCCATCTCCCAGAGGAAGGGCCTTCTGAGGTTGGCTTTCCTGGAAGCAGCCTGGACAGGAGGTTACCAGGGGCCCTGGTGGTAAAGCAAAGATGGTGGAAGCCAGCTGAGAAAGGAAGAAATGGAGTGGGACTGGAGTTGTGGAGGCAAGGCTTTCCCTGGCAATCCGGGAATGGTTTAGGAAGTTAGGGGGAGACTGTGGGAGTGGGAGTAGCTCTAGTGTCTGATTTCTTGTACCAGCTTGAATCTGGACTGGGCTGGGATTTGTAGAACAGGACAAAGAGTAAATGCAAATTTCTTCCTACTTCTGAAACTAGCTCTGCCCACAGGATATCTAGAGGAGAGGTCTTGGTCCTTATGTGCAGTGTGGATAGGCCAGTGTAGGGGCCACCCCATAGAGCCACAGCTGTGAAGTAAGGGGTGGGGGAGAGGGAACATCTCAAAGTATAGAGAGTATAGAGAATGGGAAATGTGCATTCCGGAGAGACGCAACTGATATGTAAAATAATGTAGACATAAAAATGGCATATTGTATGGGCAACGAAAGCACAGGGAGATCAAAGATATTTTCACAAATCAGATCCAAGTCTCTTGGGGAATTTGTAAGTGTCCTCTGAAGGATGCTCCACTCACTGAAATCACAGGACACAGCTGTTTTATAACAAACTTGGCAGTGGGTACAAAGGGCATCGATGTGGAAACCTTTGCATGCTAGGGCAGTTACTGTATTCACAAAAGGTACTATTTCCTTTCAGTTTTATTGCTTGCAGTTTTGAACATGACCTAAGTAAGTTCAGAAAGACCTAGGAATAGTTCTGTTAAAGGACAAGTCCATGAGGTTTGCTTCTATAGGAATTGGCACGTATCTGACCCAAGGGAAGGAGAATGACAAAGGTGCTGGGTTGAATGGGGAACAGGATCTAAGAGAACACGAAAGGTGGAATGCTACAGTGATGCTCTGAAGCCCTCTTGAGAACTGATAGTTAAGTTTTCAGGAATGTAACAGAACATTATTAAAAATTAAATAGTAGAAACTTACAATCAAGCAGATTATGTTAAAAACAAAAGTAATAAAAATTCAAAACTCCTAATTATTTCACTACATTTTACTTTTATCTATGCTACTGAAGTTGTTTGTTTCATGTTAGTAGTTTGAAACTGGACTGGACGGGGGTAAAATAGACACCAGAGAAATTGGCAAATGCTGGAGGTCAGTAAATGCTCCAAATAGAGACGTGGTTAAACATTTACCAGCAGACCACTGGATCACTGCCTCCTTTCTTCAGTATCTGTGAGGCATTGTTGCAAGGAACATATTTACATTAGGAAATTGAAAGCTTAAAGAATTGATGAACTAGATTGATGTGAACATGGTCCTCTACAGACAACATTGAAATTTTCTAACTTGGCCTTACAGGGTTTTACACCTTACCAAACTTCTAAAATTCCATGTATGCAAGGCCTTCATGCTACCTACTGACCACTGCAGGACCCAAGCCTGACTTTTATTTGAAAAATGATTCAATTCCTTTATCTTCCCTCATCAAAACTTCCGTACTCTTAATTTCTTGCTCTCTTGTCCTGCCAAATGGAAGAAATAAATCTGTTTTTTGGCTTCCACTGGAATTTACATGTATGACAACTGCTTCTTACATTAGCTATTCAGAACCCTGTATTCCTAATGGTTGCTTACTAGAACACGGTATTTCTGGGTTTGGAATGCCAGACAAACGGAGGGTTCCTTGGGGGTAGGCAGGCGTTGTAGAGTCAGGGAATCCTGCCACAGTTTCTGCCTATATTTAAATCAGTTCTGGGTGTTATAATCTTGTTCTCCTACCTCTCTGCAATTATGTCCTCCTACCCCTCCACAATTACTTCTGTGGAGTGGGAAGGCTGTTGCCTTCTATCAAATGACCTTATGTAGACTAACAACAAAATCAATTGTTCCCACCTCCTGGGAAACATGGTATTACAAGCATCCCCTGCTTTTTGCAAGTTTGCATTGCACCATGTTGGTACCTGTTTTCAGTAACTTAAAGAAATTGGAAGAGGATTTTCACTTTTATGGGAAAAGGTGAAAAGCGAAACTAGCGTTCAGCATTTGTTTTGCAGTGAGCTGTTACAGGGTAGCGCACGCTCCAAGCAGTGAGCGTGGCGCCACCAAGCTCCTTCCCCAGAAACCACACTGAGCTGCTCAGCATCAAGTGAGTGAGCATCTGTGCTTTATCTCAATTTATTTTGTACATTTGTTAGCAAGATGTGTCCTAAGATATCAGAAAAGCCTAAGAGATTATTTTTTGCATCTGGGAATGCCTAAAAAAATTTTCATACAAATTAATGGTAATTGTTTCTTTGCTTTATGCCAGTTCTACTTAAGAAAGTTATCATAGGAATGCTCTACTTTCAGATAGCAAGTGGGTGGGGGTCCGGGGAACCTGTGTAGCAAAGGAAGTGTGAATCTACCAGGCAATTAACATTATGTATGGACTGAATAAAAATATTTCTTTCATGTACAAGTGTTATTTGCTATCTTTCAAATGTTTGTGGATACTATTATGATAAATGAAACACAAACCTTTAAAATGACAATGAAGCTATGATTGCTTTCTGACAGTATGTTTCTTTCAAGTGATGGATATTAAACATACAACTATTGTTTATGAAGGAGTTATTAGAATTATTGCAATTACAAGTATATACACTTGATGGGAACTGGATGGATTTACAGTGAATAAGAGGCTGGAGGCGTCTACACAGAGTGGCTTCAGATCCTGGAGATAATTAATCCAACTTTGATCAAGCTGGAAGAAGAATTTCTGAAGATGGAGAGATAGAAAAGAAGTTTGAAGAACCAGATTGTATTGTCAGTTCTGCCATCACTTTGACCAATTCTTCTTCTTTTTTTTTTTTTTTCTCAACTGTATTTCCCCTATTCCTTAGTGAGTCAGAAACACTGCCTAGCTGCAGCCCAAGAATTAGCATTTCCCTTCTGGGCTCCCATGGCACTTTTTAAAAGTAGAAGAACCCCTTATCAAAATATGCTAGAATTCATTATAGCTTGTCCTCTGTCTCACAGATGGAGAAATCTTTGAGGTTAGAATCCACATTTCTTTGATCTTTAATGGCCAGTGCTAAGCAGAGTGCATTGCTCATGGTGAGTGATCAGTGAATCTTTATTTAATTGGATTATTATGAGGGTAAAACCAATTGGAAAACATGTATAAAGTGGTTTATAAAGTGTGAATAATATATATAATATACACGTATATGTAAGTGTCTAGCTTTGGAGATGTGGCTTACTTAGTGGTCCGTTGGTATATGTACATGTATACGTAAAGGTAAATTATCAGTAAAATTATTTTTACTTTCTCCATCCTCCTTCCATTTACTCTACAAATATTTACTCTTTGAGGGGGTGAGCAGAGGATAATTGGAGAAAATAAATCAGTTGGAGCAACAGCAACAGCAAACATCAGAGTCATTGCTGTGATGTGTCCTTGGAGGAGACACAAGACTTGCAACCAGAAGCTGAAACTAGGAACCTAAAGACATCCTCTGATTTGGGTAAGGGGCACCTCAGCAAGAAAGAAACGAACTCTTCAGAAAGTCAGAGGAAGGGGCACCTCTCTTGAGAAGGGGTTAGCCTGCGGTAATACTGGAAGTACATAATGAGAACCAACGGACCACTAAGTGAGCCATGTCTCCAAAGCTAGACAATCTGTATCCACCAAATGAGCCCACAATCTCCTGCCTTGTGTATTTCCACATAGTAGACTTGTAAAAATCTTGACACTTGTGGTAAATTAGTAGTTTTTGTTGTCTTAAAGTAAGTGGGTCTAGGAGTACTCCCTTGATGCGTGAAGTCATTGTAGTTTACTGGGAAATGTAGTTTGCTAAATTAAAGTGTATTTGCAGAAACAATTTGGCAGAATATATATATTTTTTAAGTAGGCTCTATACCCAGCTTGGAGCTTAACATGGGGCTTGAAATCACACTCCTGACCTGAGCTGAGATAATGAGTCAGATGTTTAACTGACTGAGCCACCCAGGCACTCCTTAGGAGAATATTTTCCACTGGGGGTGTCTTAGAAAATCCAGGATTGGGGCACCTGGGTGGCTCAATCAGTTAAGCATCTGCCTTTAGCTCAGGTCATGATCCCAGGGTCCTGAGATTGAGCCCTACATTGGGCTCCCTGCTCAGCAGGGGAGTTTGCTTCTCCCTCTCCCTCCCCTGGCTCATGCACTCTCTCTCTCTCTCAGTCTTTCTCTCAAATAAATAAGAAAAATCTTAGCAAAAAAAAAAAAGAAAAAGAAAATCAAGGGGAGGTGAAAGCTAAGAAAAAACCATGGGTTTGAGGTCAAAGTAACAGGAGGGCTTTATTATTTATTTATTTACTTACTTACTTACTTATTTATTTATTTATTTATTTATTTATTTTAGAAAGAAAGGTGGGGGAGGGACAGAGGAGAGAATCTTGAAGCAGACTCCCTGCTGAGCACAGAGCCTGAGACAGGGCTCAATCTCAGGACCCATGAGATCATGACCTGAGCCGAAACCAAGAGTCAGTGCTTAGCCAACTGAGCCACCCAGGCGCCCCAACTGGAAGGCTTTTAAATTTTCAGATTGTAGTTGGGAGGGAAGGGCATTGGAGCTGATGTTTCATCCCAAAGGTTTCAGGAATTTTATACACACACACACACATGCACACACACCTGCACACACACACACACATACCTGGGCTGGATAGTATCTCTTGATCAGAAGACACTTCCTGGCTGCTGTCCTTGAATGGAAAGCCCACATACTTCCTTGTACTGAAAGTCTTACTTCTGGCTCCCCAGGTTCTGGGCTACTTTCAGAGTTCTTGTAGCTGCCAGTAGGTATGGGAAGCACCTCCACGGTGGCCTGAGAGGGCCAGACACTGAGCACTGAGGACTCACTGTAGTTATCATGCAGAAGCACAGAGGAAACAACCTAAAGAAATTCAGCAGTGATCTTCCTACCCAGCCTGATACTCTGCCTCCTCTCTGCGTAGACCTGCTTGACTAAAGTTGGCCAGGTTCCTCAGGCTCATCATAGTGCCTTGTGGAGGCCTTTAAGCCTCTGCATCTGCCCCCATAGCACTGTCTTGACTGTCTCATTGCGGAGGGTAAGGATAAAGGGACTGAGAAAGGGGGTGAGGACCGATGTCACCAGGGCTACGGTCTTGTTGACTTCCACAAAATGTGCTTTGCCAGGCCTGACATAAAGGAAGATGGTGCTGCTGTAACCAATGAAGACCAGGGTGAGGTGGGACCCACACGTAGAGAAAGCCTTCTGACGGCCGCTAGCGGATGGGATCCTCAGCACGGTGGTCACAATATAGCCATAGGAGATGAGGGTCACCAGGAAGGAACTGAGGACAAAAGCCAAGGCCATCATGAAGTCCCAGAATTCCAGCAGGCTGGTGTCTGAGCAGGACAGCTGCAGCAGAGGTGCATTGTCACAGAAGAAGTGGTTAATGATGTTGCCATGGCAATAATTGAGATAAGCCCGGGAGATGACAGTGGGCACCATGACTAGGAAAGGAGCCGCCCAGGCAGCCCCTGCCAGCCTGATACACACAGCCCAGCTCATCAAAATGTCATAGCGCAGTGGGTGGCAGATGGCCACAAAGCGGTCAAGGGCCACATCTGACAGGATGAGGAAGGAGGTGGAACCCAGGGAAAAGTAGAAGTAGAACTGGACCATGCAGCCAGTGAAGGAAATTACTTTATGGGTGACCAGCAGGTCTGAGAGCATCCTGGGCACTGCAGTCATGGTCACCAAGATCTCCAACAGGGAAAAGTTACCCAGAAAGAAGTACATGGGTGTATGTAGGTGGGTGTTGGCTATGACCGTGACTATGATGATAGTGTTTCCCATGAAGGCAAGAAGATAAAGCGTGAGGAAGGGCCCATACAGCAGAACCTGCAGCTCACCAAAAGAGGAGAAGCCCAAGAGGACAAATTCAGAAGGGTGGCTCAGATTTGCCATGATCCAGGAGCTGGGTCCTGCATAGAAAGGAAACAGAGACAGAGATGTAAGGCAGAGATAGCGAGACAGAGAGAAAGAAAGAGAGAGAGGGAGAGAGAGAATATCATTGAACATGAAACAGAGACAGAAAGAGAACAGGGAGAGCAAAACAAAGTCAGTGGTCAGTGATAAACAGAAAGAGAGAGAACTACATGGGAATATGAGAGAATCATAGACGGGGTCATAGAATTAAGAGCATGGAAAGCCATTGATAAGGAGAGAGACAGAGAGGAGTGGATTAAGGACAGCAGAGTAGCAGACATCAACATTTCAGGAGAAGGAAAGAAGGAAACAAAAGAAGAACACAGAATTAAGAGAGGAAGACCAAATGTGTGAGAGGGAGAGACAGTAAAATACAGGGAGGGGAGGAAACATGGAAAGAAAGAGAATTATTTTAAGTCACCCTGAAATCCTGGAGTAAAGGTTGATGCTGGGGGCATCTTGTT